TTCATCTACATATTCAGAAAGTATCAACAAATCCTTGTTACGGAGATAAATTAGATGTGTCCCTTACAGTGGGAGGAGTTTATTTTCTAACAGTGCTGTTTACAGACTTCACTTTGCAGCTTTGATAAATGCAGTGGACACGGCTTACAATTTCCAAAGAGATTTAGAATCTCAAATCTTAGAATTGCTGCTATCAAGTGTATATTCTTTTGTGACCCCCCCCTCCCATTCAATATTTGGGGAAATATTGTTTTTTATGCAGAGAGGGTAAGAGATATGAAAGCCAGGTGACACCGTTAAGCCAGGTGATACCGTTAATCACTGTAGAGCAGATGCTAGCTATTATTTATAAAAGTATTCTGTCATTTAGTGAGAATCTGTAATGTTTAGGGTTGGTGCAGAGACTTTCATCCTGGATAACTTTTCCAAACTTTTCTATCTGCGAATGCACAGTATTTCTGTGCTTGCATGAATGTGCAGGCATAAAGAAGTATAAAGCACAGCCCATCAAATCATTCAAAAGAAAATACTACTCTGAATATGTTATGTACACCAGCCAAAGATCCTTCAAAAAATGAGAATATTTTCAGACAGAACAAGATGGAATATAAGTGTCTAATTGTGAAACTGTTTCTTGAAAAAATTCAGTTAGGTGCCCAGAGATGACGCTTTGTGTACCACTTACCTTGTTAAGAGCCCTCCCCCGAAATCCAAGGTATTGCGCAGGCTCACGGAAGCTAAGACCCGGGCTCCTCGGCAGGACCGGGAAACACGCGGCCGGAACGCTTGTGCTGCAGTGCCTCTTCCCGGCCGGCGCTCATTCACAAAGGGACCGTATCAGCCAAGCGCCTGTAGGTAGGAACCTGTTTGGTGTCGGTTCTTAGGGGCCTTGGAGGTGGCGGTGGAGAAGCAGGCGTCGGGGAGTCCATGCGAAAGGAGGCACTATGGACGACCAGGGTTGCCCACGGTGTAAGACCACCAAGTACCGGAACCCTTCCTTAAAGCTGATGGACCCCCGTCTATATGCCCAGTTGTCCTGATGGAGTTCGGTTAGGTTCTCATCACGAAAAGGGAGAAAAATCCAGACTCTAGGACAGGGGTTCTCAACCTTCCTAATGCCGCGACCCTTCAATACAGTTCCTCATGTTGAGGTGACCCCCAACCATAAAATTATTTCCGTTGCTACTTCATCACTGTAATTTTGCTACTGTTATGAATCGTAATGTAAATACCTGATATGCAGAATGTATTTTCATTGTTATAAGTTGAACATAATTAAAGCATAGTGATTAATCACAAAAACAACATGTAATTATATGTGTTTTCCGATGGTCTTAGGCGACCCCTGTGAAAGGGCAGT